AAAATATTATTTATATTATATTATTAGAAATATTATTTAGCAAATTCAAGTCCCAGCTTGAGGTCCATCTTGATCCTGTTTCCCTCTCTCCTCTCTTATCACTTCCTATCTCCACCCAATTTACCTATTCAATAAAAGCAAAAATGGCTAAAATATAACAACAAAAAAAAGAAATAAAATAAAATAAAATAAATGACAGTCCAAAAACAAAAACAACTAAATATGAATTCATATAGTGTATAAATCCAAGCTTTTTTCTGATGTAACACTGTCCAGTACCAGCACTAGGGGATGATGTTTCAGAGGGATAAAAAAAAGAAAAAAGAAAATGTACAACTCAGTCCATAAAATTGACAGATAATGATTATCGGTAGCAACCTCTATGACTCATCCCTATTTAGTACATACTGCGAAGGCACGGAGCCATTATATTTCAAGAACAGCAGAGTAAAAGAGAGAGAAAGCCATAGTATGAGAGAGAGAGGCTGTAGTATTTTCACAACAAATCTGACTGCAGCTTACACCATTCTTTAATGAATGTTGATACTGCAGGGAGCCAGTTAGGATTAATGACACTGATGCCAATGGCTGTTTTTTTATGTACACACACACACTCACTCACAAACTCACTTAGTGTGTTGCTGTGGTATCCCGGGGAAAGCCAAGTCCTAATCTTTCACAGTTGGGTCCCCTCAGCCCTCCCTGCTTATCCCTCAGGATTAAACCCAACACACACACACACAGAGCAGGGAGGGAGTGAGCAATCTACTGACCTACATTAGTGAGAACCCTATGCTACACCTACACACACACACTTTTAATACGGAAAGCACATAGCAACAGAGGACCAGCACAGAGGCTCATTCAAATACTCATTAACACACACACACACACACACACACACACACACACACACTGCTTCAGCACTGTAAACTAAGAGCGTAGTGAGAGTTGAGAGAGAGAGACAGCAGTATAAAAGCCTTGTCAGCTGGATCTTGCTGAGCGCACTAGGAATAGTATCAGATGACCTGAAACCTAAACTTATTGTCTTCCATCAGCCCTGGCAACACTATGAATCAAATGCATTTTGCTCCATAAAACCCCACTCGCAACGCAATGATGCACCGCAACAATACATGTCATCCAGACCGTTCTGTGGGCCGCATTAGTGGGTCAATGGGAGATGACTGTGAGGATGATAAGGTTTAAGTCAATATAACCACAGCATTATTGACAAGA